CGTCCTCTACGAAAAACCCCAAAAAAAAAAAAAAAAAAGAATTATTTTATTGGGCCGGCAGGTGGTGTGGTGGTTAAGGACGCTGAACTTCCACATGGCCGACCATGGTTCGAATCCCAGACTTGGCAGCTTGCTTTCTCACTTTCTCTCTCTCTCTCACTCTGTCCCTCTCTGGTCAAGTTATAAATAAATAAATAAAGTTTTAAAAATAATTATTTTATTTATTGATTGATTTATAATTTTTTTTGAGAGGTTTCAGCTATAGGGCACATACACTCGCCAGAAAGACAGAGACAGAAAGATAGAAAGTGAGAAATCACCCCTGGGGAGATGGCCACGTTGCAATCCCTTTTCCTCCATTCTCCTCTCGGGATCTTGGGCATGCACGCACACGTGCCTGGAGTGTCTAAGCCACTGAGTCCAGGACTTGAATCGCAATCGACTACATGGGAGTCCAGCAATATAGCCATTATGCCAACTACTGGTCCCAATTTTTTAATTTATTTTAATTTGGCCAGAGTGAAGTGAAAAAGCAAGCTGCCAGGTCTGGGACTACAACTATGGTTGCCCACATGGGAGTCCAGTGCCTTTAACCACCACACCACCTGCTGACCCCTTTTTATGTAATTTTCTAAAAGGAATTACATAACTTTATTTATTACTATTATTATTTTTTATTTGACCAGAGAGAGAGAGGGAAAATGAGAGAGCAAGCCACCACGTCCAGCACTTCAGCTCCCATGTGGGAGTCCAGCACCTTCACAATCACACCACCTGTCAGCCCCTGAAATATTTTTTTAAATGAAAATTAATGTAAGAAATTCCATGATAAACAAAATACATTTTAAGTAAAGGCAGGCTCTCACAGGATTGGAGGTGGTGAGTATTATGAGCTGTGTGAAAGTAATCAGCCTATTTTATATTAAAATGTACTTTTTTTTTTTTAAGAGAGATTTTTGCTGTAGGGCATGTGAGCTCCTTAGAGAGACAGGGAGAGACAGAAAGCAAGAAATCACCCCCCCCCCAAAGGGGGATGGCCACACCGCAATCCCTTCTGCATTCTCCTCTCAGGATCTTGAGCACACAAGCACACACACCCAGCATGGTTTTAAGGTGCCAGGTTTGGGACTCGAACTGTGGTCACCTACGTGGGAGTCCAGAGATGTAACCACTATGCCATCTGCTGTTTCCAAAATTTGCTGTTTTATTAACAGATTTTTTTATTACTTCTTTGAAAATACTACATTAAAATATTTATTTGGATTATTGAGTTTTTTGGCAGCCCTTTAAATTTTGTACTCCAGGCTCCACTGTGGGGTACAGTGGTAGTGTGCTGGTCCACAAGGCTGAAGCCATGGGAGAAGGTTGGGGTTCAGTCACTGGGCTCACCTGTATACCCTGGGTGTGCGAGCACATTCCTTGATCCTGGCTGGCTGAGAGGTCTCAGGGGAGACTTGCAGCGTGAGACCCAGTTGAAGGTCTTTCTGTCTTCTGCTCTCTTTTTCAAAAAAGAAATAAAGAAATTTAAATTTTCTATGTGTGCACTTGAAGCTCACTTTTCTTCCTTTTTTTTTTTTAAGGTTTTTTGTCATAGGGCACATGTGCATACTGGAGAAATCACCCTCCCCGGACGGGATAGTCTCACTTCTCCTCCATTCTCCTCTCAGGATTCTGGTCCACACACACACATGTCCAGTGTGACGTTCAAGCCACCAGCTCCGGGACTCGAACCATGAATGACCATGTAGGAATCCAGCCCCTTAACCACCATGCTATTGGCTGGCCCCTGCACTTGAGGCTCAGATACCTTACGCTAGTCCTGGCCCTGTAGCTCCGCATGAATCCTTCCTGGGTAAAGCTGGAAGCAGCTCCCACACCACGTGCCCCAAACAAACTTGGCTCTGGTGACCTGAGCAACACGTGGCTCCGGAAATGCTGTCTTTGCTTGGCATCGCTGATGGTGAAAGGAAACTGTTTTCCGCTCTCTCTGTTTTAACATGTTTCCTGGTTCTTGGGGCACATCCAAGCATCTGACTAGTGATTAATTTTCCAGGTGATATCATGGAGCTAGCAAGACCCCATAGACCCAGTGGGGCGGTGGGGGGGGGACTTGCATGTCTGCTGAGTGTTCACATTCCTCTGCTGAAAATAAGTGTGAAAGACCTAATGGAGGTACAAAGGATGAAAAGTATACACCAAGCACTTAAAAATACTTGCATTATTTCCCCTGTAATTTGCCAGAGGTTGTGTGCACTCACCAGAGAAAGAGAAAAAAAAAAGAGAGGGAGAGGGAGAGAGTAACCCCCACCATAGGGTACGCCACAATCCTTTCTCCATTTCTCTATCCTGCTGGGATTGTGGGCTTGGACACACATGCGCTGGTGTGTTTTTCACTCCACCAGGGCCAAAATTCCAACCACACATGATCTGCCATGTGGGATCCGACTGCCTTAATGACCAGGCATTGAACTGGCTCAAAATATCCTGTTGGGCCAGCAGGTAGTGTGGTGGTTAGGGCAGCTGGATCCCACATGGCCAACTACACGGTTGAGTCCTGGACCGAGCAGCTTGAAAAATGTGCCGGGCACGGGACCGGCAGTTGGCGTAATGGCTATGTCGCTGGATTCCCATATAGTTGACTGCGGTTCAAGTCCTGGACATGATGGCTTAAACTGACAACGGGCACGTGTGCATACATGCCCAAGATCCCGAGAGGGGACTGGAGAAGGGATGGTAGCATGGCCATCCCCCCCGGTGGGTGATTTCTTGCTTTCTGTCTCTCTGTCTTTCTGGCAAGCGTAATGTGCCATATAGCAAAAACCTCTTTAAAAAAAAAAAAAAAAAAGTGCCGGGCAAGTATATGTGCCCAAAATCCAGAAAGGAAAAAATGAAGAGGGGACTGTGGCATGGGCATGCCACATGAGAGGGTGCTTTCTCACTTCTCCCTCCTCTCTTCTCCTCTCCTTTCCCCCTCTCTCTTTCTCTCTTTCTCACAAGCACACATACCCTCTGACAAAATTTTAAAAAAAAGAAACAAGAAACTAGTAAAATTGAACTAAACTTCTCTCTATATACCTGAATATCCCTATACGCTCCACGTGTAAGGTTACTTTTCCTCTAATATCCAAATAAGATGTTTAAGCATCCCCTAAACCTTAGGATGCTCCCTAGTGGGGAGCTCTGTAAGCTCCTGCCCTCTATTTCTGCTCGCAGTGAGTGTTTACCCACATTGGACTTCTCGCCCCTGTAGCGGTGGTCCTCTCTGAGCAATCCTTTGTCCCATGTATGCATTTCTTACCCCCGTACTTTGAGACAGCAGTAAAAAGGCAAAATTTTGGAGGCCAGCGGGTGGCATAGTGGTTGAGGTACCGGACTCCCACGTGGCTGACCATGCCATTTGCTTTCTCATTTTCTCTTTCTCCATCTCTCTCTCTCCCATCAAATTAAATAATAATAATAATAATAATAAACAAAATTAATTTTTTTTAAAAGAAGGCTTTTGTCTGAAACAGACTTTTCCTAAAGGTTTATGGAAACCAGAAAAAGGCACTAAAGCATAGTCCAGGTAGGAAAATCATTTAAGATCAAATAAAGAACATCTTTGGATAAGCAAAAACTAAATGAATCTCTACAAGCAGACCTGCCTGTAAGAGATGCTAAGGAAAGTTCTTCCGGGTAGAAGGAAATGAAACCAGATGGAAACCTGGATCGTCGGAAAGAACGAAGAGCACCAAAAATAGTAGAAGAATAAATGTGAAAAACTGTTTTTCCTCTTCATTTCCTTAAAATGTAGAATGTTGAAAGCAAAAGTTTTAACCTTGTGAGATTTATAACTTATGTAGATGTAAGATATAATACATGATTTAAAGCAGTAGACTGTTCTAATAGACTGAAACATTAAGGATATGTATTATAAAATCTTTTAAAAATTATTTATTATTATTATTTAATTTGACCAGAGAAAGAGAGCGAGAGAAAGTAAGAAAGCAAGCCACCAAGTCTGGTGGCACAGTCGGCATGTGGGTGTCTAGCACCTTTACCACCATCCCACCTGCTGGTGCCTGTATTATAACATTTTTAACAACCACTTTAAAAATGCAAAGAGGAGGACCAGCAGGTGGAATAGTGGTAAAGGTGCTGTACACTCACACATGGCTGACCATGGGTCAAGTCCCAGACCTGGCGGCTTGCTCTCTCTCTCTCTCTCATTTTCTCTTGTGTGTGTGTCTCTCTGGTCAAATTAAAATAATAAATGAATGAATGAATAAAATTAAATAATTATTTTTAAAAAATGCAAAGAGGGTCAGCAGGTGGCATGGTGGTTAAGGGCACGGCACTCCCGCATGGCCGACCATGACTCAAGTCCGAGACCTGGCAGCTTGTTTTCTCCCTTCCCCTCTTTCTCTTTCACTCTGTCCCTCTCTGGTCAAATTAAAATAAGTAAGTAAATAAGTAAAGTTAAATCATTCTTTTTAAAAATAATGCAAGGAGGGGGCCAGCAGGTAGCATGGTGGTTAAGGTGTTAGACTCCCACATGGACAGCAATGGTTTGAGCCCCAGACTTGATGGTTTGAAACTCACAGTAGGTGCATGTGCATACCTGTCCAAAATCCCAGTGAAGGAGAAGGGACTGTGGCAAGGCCATCCCACCAGGGAGCAATTTCTCACTTTTTCTCTCACTGTCTCTCTGCAGAGCCCACACGCCCTAAGACAAAAAAACAAAAAAACAAAAACAAACAAAAAAAAAACCTCAAAGAAGTATAACATAAAAAGCTGATAGATGAATGAAAGCAGATTTCCATAAACTGTTGAGTTAACCCAAAAGAAGGCAAGAAAGGAATAGCAGACAACCAAAAAAAGACAAACAGGAAACAAACAGTAAAATGACAGACCCATATCCAACTATATAATTATATTACAAAGTTACTGACCAGCAGGTAATGTGTTGGTGAAGGTGTTGGACTCCACATGGCTGGCTGTGGTTCAAGTCCCAGACTTGAAAATCCTGCTGGGCATGTGTAAGCATGTGCCTCTCCTCCAAAATCCCACGAAGAGAATGGAGGAGAAGGGATTACGGAGTGCCATCCCCTCGGGCAGTGATTTCTTACTTTCCTTCTCTCTGTCTCTCTCTCTCTGGCTGAGCAAATGCACCCTATGGCAAAAACCTTAAAAAGAAAAAAAGTCATTGGTCTGAGGACCAGGTGGTGGCTCAGTGGTAATACAACTGGATCCACATGGGAAGAATCTGGGGTTCTTGTCCTGGGACCTCCCTGAGAACATCGGGTACACCTGTGATCCAGTCTGGCTGAGCCCAGAGACGCTACTGAGGATATCTGTCTCTCTGTGTCTTCTTTTCTGTATCTCTCATGAAATGAATGAATAAACAAACTAAAAATAATAATTTATGGCCTAAAATGCTTCAATTAAAATATGGAAATTGCCAGAATGGATAAAAAGCATGATCTGTATCCACTCTGTTTGAGACACACAACAAAAGTTCATGGGAAATAGATGAAAAACGGCTATATTTTGCAAACAATAAGCTTGAGAAAGTTGAAGTACCTAAATTCTATGAAATGAATTAGACTTTAAGACAAGACTGCTAGCAAAGATTAAAAGGGAAATTTCAGGGACCAGCAGTTAGCATAATGGCTATGTCGCTGGATTCCCACATAGTCGACCGCGGTTCTCATCCCGGACCCAGTGGCTTAAAAACTCACACCGGGCACGTGTGCGTGCGTGCCCAAGATCCCGAGAGGAGAATGGAGGAGAAGAGATTGCGGCGTGACCATCCCCCTGGGGAGTGATTTCCTGCTTTCTGTCTCTCTGTCTCTCTCTGTCTGGAGAGCGCACGCGCCCTATAGCAAAAATCTCTCTCTCAAAAAAAAAGGGAAATTTCATAATAATAAATTTCACCAGGAAGGTAAAATAATCATGTCTGTATATTGTATACACTTCATAGTTTCAAAATAAATGAAAGAAAAACTGACAGAATGACAAAGTGAAAGGGAGAAATACACAAATCCACTATCATAGTTGCCTATTTTACTCCCCTTTTCAGTAACTTACAAAGAAATTAGACCAAAAAAATCAGTATAAACATAGAAGATTGGAGCAATATTTCAATCACCTGTGAGGACGTAAGTCTGACTGCTTTTTCCTATTTTCCAAAATCTTTTCCAGAGGGCCTGGAGGGAGTCACACCCACAGACATTAACAGACCATTTTGATCCATTAGTGACAGGATTCTTCCTACATCCTGCCTCTGGCATAGTACCTTTGTGATATATTAAGCCTCCTTATCTCTGTTAAAGTACATTCTTTTCTGATCTCAGCAAACCTTACTTTTCCAGTGACCAACCTAAAAACTGTAAACCCACCTATACCCTACAAGCCCCTCTCCCCACATGTCCTGCCTTTTTGGACCACACCAATGGAAAATCTCTTCACTAAATTCCAAACACATTCTCACTCTCAAAATCAAATA